ATCTGTCCTGTGGGGAGCCCGGGCAAGGTGGCCCTTGGACTGATCCTTCCAAGGGCCCCCCTGGTCCACCCGCCTCGGAGTCTCCGGGGTGGGGGTCGCTCTCCAGGCCTTCCCTCTGTAGCCACGCACACACAGGTTTTGGCTGTAGTGGGCGTGGCCAACCCTGAAGCTAGCCGGAATTCCGTTCCTGTGTGTTCCTGCCCCAAAATAGCCCTGGTTTACTGGTACACAACGGAACAGAAAATACCGGCCAGATGGCCAACTATATACAGTCCCCGTGGATCACCCATAGTTCCCATTGGTGGGTTTAAACTTCCCGCCAAGGTTCCTATTGGTGACCGCCTGAGGTTTCAGGATCCTAGTCCCTGTTGTCTCCTGAGAGCCAGGCTCTGGTAACGTCGCTGTCGCCTAGTGGCGGTCAGCGGGCATACCATTTTTTAACCTGCATTTGTGCGTAAAATACAAAGCATGTGAAAGTGCATTGTGCCAAGGCAGATCTAACAGTCCAGTGCGGTCTACTCTGATGGTCAGGTACGGTTGCCAGCTCCGGATTGGGAAATTTCTAGAGATCTGGGGGGCAGTGTCTGGGGCGGTTGGAGTTTGGAAAAGGGAAGGACTTCAGTAGGTTATAATGCCATAGAGTTCACCACCTTGAGTCACCATTTTCTCCAGGGGAACTGATCTCTGTCGCCTGGAGGCGAGCTGTAACCCCAGGAGATCTCTAGGCACTGCCTGGAGGTTGACAACCCTATCTTGAGGCTGCGTGCTTAAGGTGACCCTCCCCACCCCCAAAGCAATGGCCCTAGAGGTCAACGCACGACACGAGGTTGTGAAATTTCTTTGCAAGCTGCTGATGTAACAGAAGCGTCACAGGCTGTAGTTTCTGCACTCCAGTGCCTTTGGTTTTTTTTTCTTCGACTATTCCTGCTCCCCCTCTAGACCAGAATCCCCCAACCTTTTTGAGTTCGTGTGCACCTTTGGGATTCTGACACACTGTGGTGGGCTCAGCTGCAAAATGGCTGCCCCCGAGTGGCGAGACAAATGTGGACAATCGCGACCTGTTCAGAGAACAGATGTAAAGAAAACAGTCGTGAGAGTATGGCCCACAGATCAAGCAGTCCACAAGACTTGCAAAGAAAATGCTTTCTGTGTATGATGGTATATGATGGTTATAGTGTTGCAGTGCTTGTTGACCATAATAAACAGAAAGCATCTTCTTTGCGAGTCTTGTGGGTCAGATTCTCTTTGCTTGATCTGTGGGTCAGACTCTCGCGGCTGTTTTCTTTACATTTGTTCTCTGCCCCAAAATGGCTGCCGCAGGTGTTGGAGCCGGCCACAAAATGGCCGCGGCGGCTTACGTTCGGTCACACAGTGAAGATCCTTGTCTGGAGGTGGCAGCTGCTGCCAAAGTGACCTTTTCGAACGTTGCAATCGACACCTTCTCAAAACACTCGGCAGGCTCAGTCTAGACCCACACCTGCTGACTGAAGGTATCGCATCATGCAGCTGCCAAAAGCGACTCTCTAATCCACAGACATCCATTCCCCAGTAACCCCCATCTGTGGTTGACCCAAACAGAAACATCGTCGTTGTGGGTAAGCATTTCTCGGGTTAGAATTTGGGTTCCTGATCCGAGATTTCTTTCGTAGGTTCCTTCGCAGGCGAGCTCGATGATCCGGCAACCTCTCCTTCCCCTCCTCCTCAGCCTCGTGAGGCCTGCCCTTCCTCAGGGCTGCGGCTTTCGAATGGTGGTCAACCGTTTCGATGCCCTCGGGAAAGACCGAGAGTTGTTCTTTAAGCAAGACTCACTGAAGGACCAGCACGAAATCTTCAAGGAGCTCGTGGACTCGGCCATAGACCCAAATGATAAAAATGCGGTGAGTGTCATTCTTTTTGAGCCTGCGGGGCACATCAAGATTCTGAAATGTTATGGTGGGCGGAGCTGCAGCATGGCTGCCACAAAATAGCTGCCAGAGAAGGTGGAACCGGCCACAAGATGGCCGCCGCAACTTACCTTCAGTCACACAGTGCAGATCCTTCTGCTGTGGTGGCAGCTGCCGCCGAAGCAACATTTTAAAAAGTCTGCACAGTCGATCAAATCTCCAGTGGTTGCTAGGGTTGCCAGGTCCCCCGGGGGGGGCAACCCCTGCTCGATGGTTCCGTTACCCGCCGGCCTGGATCAGGCCATCGGGGAGAACCCCACCCCCAAATTGCTGGGATCGCAGCAACATGCCCGGTGTGATGACGTCACCCGGAGGTGGCGTCTTTGCGTTGGGCATGTTGTGCGCGCGCGCGGGGGGGTGTGCTCTATAATTCGAGGGGAAACACTCTGTTTCCCCCTCGAATGATAGTGGTCCCGCCCCCAATGTGCCCGACTCGATGACGTCACTTCCGGGTGATGTTATCGCAGTGCGCATGCTTTGCGCGCGTGCCAAGGAACTCCCAGAGAGGGCCAGGACTCCCCCCGCTGCAGCTACAGTAGGACTTAGGCAAGCCCGATCTTGTCAGATCTTGGAAGTTAAGCAGGGTCGACTCTGGCGAGTACTTGGATGGGAGACCTCCTTGGAATACCAGCAGTCGGGAGGCGGGGGCAGGCTTTATTCAGCCACTTCTCCGAATATCCTCCAGGCCCCCAGTAGGGGTCAATCACCAGAGGTCGCCATGACTTCCAGGTGTGCACACTCTGACACGCACCCCCCCCTCAGTGGACCAACATCTTCTGGTTATCCCTGGCCTGAAGGTCATCTGGCTAGACTCAGCTAGGAGCAGGGCCTTTTCAGCCCTGGCCCCAGCCTGGTGGAACAAGCTATCGATCAAGATCAGGGCCCCGTGGGATCTACTGCAACCCCGCAGGGCCTATAAGACGGAGCTGTCCTGCCGGGCTTTTAGTTGAGGCAGCGGGCATCCACATTCTTCCATCTCTCAGCCTCCCCTGCCGGTAGCCCTGGGCTTTGTGTCCAGTGGCCAACGTCACCAGCACCACTCACAAGAAGTACATCACAGTGTCGCTCCCGACCGAGGCAATGCCTTATGCTGGTCTTATTATCGGTCTCTTAGCTTTAACGTTTTTAGCTTTGTAATATTTGTGGTATTCTGTTGTTTTACTGTCACGTTGTATATAACTTAATAAAATAAATTATATAATTTAATTAAATAAATATGAAAACCAAAACCAAAAAAACTCTCCGGGGGCCAATCCGGGGGCCAGGCAAAAGCCCCACCTGCCCTGCAGGTGCCAGGAAATATGGTGACGGGGACAGAAATCGTCGGGGGGGGGGGCTCTAAGTACATTGGAGAGCCGCTAGTGTAAGTCCAGATTTGGTTGGAGCGCTCCGCTTCCTTATTTCCTCTGTGCAAAACTCTGCAAAGGCATCTGGTGCAGGAGTTTGGGTTCCTGAAGCTGAGTTCTGAAGGTGCGACAAAGACCTCCAAGGCCAGCTACAGGAGTCATGAAACAGGAAGCTAGCTTTCAAGTTTCCCTGAGCACGGCCATCCGCTCAAGATGAAACCCAACAAAAAGGGGAAAGGGTGGATGGGTAGGAGAGACGCTTCAGGCACAGGGTGAAGCCCTTTCCAGAGTGTCATAGCCCTTTCCAGAGTGTCATTTCATTTTTAAAGCAGTCTTGATGCCGTCTTTCTTTATACTGGTGTGATGCTTTTTTAAAACTGGTATTTTTTCCTGCTTGCTGGCCGGGAATGTTGTTGTTCTCCTCCCTCTTCTCTAGCAGGCCCGGCATTTGCCGGCACCAATTAGCTTTACACAAGGCAATAAATTACTTAAGGCAACAAGCCAACAAGCTATAAACTTCTCTTTACATTCAAAGAGAAGGATTTTCTAAGCTTTCAGTTTTGCCCAGCTTTTGGTTTAAACAAGAAAGCAAAAATAGCCAAAATAGCCAAAAAACTATAAAGACGTGTTTAGTTTGCAGAATGTATGTATGTATGTAGAAGGGATCTTTCTCTAACTTTTCAGGCAAAATAAAAATCACAAAACAAGATCAAATCATTCACTCTTAACTTGTCAAGCAAGGGAAAAGTTTCTTACATTCCTCTATGTGCTGTCAGAAGGTAAACAGAGCAGATAAGCCTCCGATTATCACTTTTTTGGGGGTGGGGGGGGGGTTAGAGTGCTTTTAAGCACATCCATTTGAGCCGGAGAGAAGCCACAATCATGACGGAGCCGAAGCCATAGGGCAATAAAATAATGCAGACAGCAGAAATTATAACAGTGCAGTAGGAGAGCGAAACCTAAAGAGATGTGAACATCTTTTTTGGAGACAGAGTGAGAGTGTAGCCGAAGCAGTGGGAAATACCAATGCAGATTCCACCATAGTCTTTGAATGAACAGCAGTCTTGTGGCATCGTAAGGCCAAGCCAAGTCATCGGCCCACCTTAAGCTTTTGTGGATTTGAGCCCACCTTCAGTTGAAGGGCAGGTGGGAAAGGGTGAGGAAGAGCTCCCCTCCCCTGTCTGCTTTATGAAGTGTGGAAGGAAAAGAACTGGTGAACTAGGCCAGCTGTTCAAATAAAGCCAGGAGGTTTCTGGCTTATTCGCTGCCATGCAATGCATGCAGCTGTCTTATAGGTCCTTTCCGCACTAGACCTTAGATCCTGGTTCAACCCTGTCCCTGAACTTACATTCTACACTACACATGAGTTCACCCCTGTAATTATCTCAGGATATTTTTACATTCTACACTACACGCGAGTTCATCCCTGTAATTATCTCGGGGTATTTTTACATTCTACACTACACGCAAGTTCACCCCTGTAATTATCTCAGGATATTTTTACATTCTACACTACACGCGAGTTCACCCCTGTAATTATCTTGGGGTATTTTTACATTCTACACTACACGCGAGTTCACCCCTGTAATTATCTCAGGGTGTTTTTACATTCTACACTACACGCGATTTCACCCCTGTAATTATCTCGGGGTATTTTTACATTCTACACTACACGCGAGTTCACCCCTGTAATTATCTCGGGGTATTTTTACATTCTACACTACACGCGAGTTCACCCCTGTAATTATCTCGGGGTATTTTTACATTCTACACTACACGCGAGTTCACCCCTGTAATTATCTCAGGGTATTTTTACATTCTGCACTACACGCGGGTTCATCCCTGTAATTATCTCGGGGTATTTTTGCATTCTACACTACACGCGAGTTCACCCCTGTAATTATCTCAGGGTGTTTTTTTGTTTCCACATTACATTGAGGTCACT